CTGAGTGTGAACGTGGGTTTAGTCTTAGTCAGATGAACATTTTAACCACAACTAGAAGCTCCCTGGAGGTAAAAAGCATGTCAGCCTTGCTTTTCATCAAGTGTGTTGGCCCTCCACTGAACAAGTTCAGACCAGAGGTATATGTCAAGACTTGGCTTCAAAGCCATTGCTTAGCTAACAATCCGAAAGCAAGAGCCAGAAAAATTGAGACCAAAAAGCATGATTATGAAAATCTTTGGAAACTTCTATGAGATGGGGGAGAGTGGAGTAGGCAGCCATTGACAACATTGGTCCTATTTTGTATTATCTGTATAATCTTTTAATTAGGGCTGTCAGTCGATTAAAATATTTAATCGCGATTAATCGCATGATTGTCCATAGTTAATCGCGATTAATCGCAAATTAATCGCACATTTTTGATCTGTTCTAAATGTACCTTAGAGGAATATTTTTCAAGTTTTTAATACTGTTATCAACATATGAGTGGACAAATATGCTTTATGCTAATGTTTATTATCATTTGAACAATGACAAATATTCTCATGAATATTAAACACAACAACCTCTTAACATTACAAATATTCGCCTCAATTCAACCTGGAACCTCTCTCTTACAATAATACAATACGTGTGTGTGTGTGTGTGTGTGTGTGTGTGTGTGTGTGTGTGTGGTGTGTGTGTGTGTGTGTGTGTGTGTGTGTGTGGGTGTGTGTGTGTGTGTGTGTGTGTGTGTGTGTTGTGTGTGTGTGTGTGTGTGTGTTGTGTGTGTGTGTGTGTGTGTGTGTGTGTGTGTGTGTGTGTGTGTGTGTGTGTGTGTGTGTGTGTGTGGTGTGTGTGTGTGTGGGTGTGTGTGTTGTGTGTGTGTGTGTGTGTGTGTGTGTGTGTGTGTGTGTGTGTGTGTGTGTGTGTGTGTGGTGTGTGTGTGTGTGTGTGTGTGTGAGATATGGATCGTTGGTGCTATGTGCAACTCAAGGCATATGCTGCCTGGACGCTGCAATCATGTTGCGCACTATCCGTGCTGAGTGTGCTGACTTTTCGTACAATGTCCCACTGTCTGGCTTCCTGCATAAAGTCAAGTGCTCGGCGCAGTTGTGGCGAAATGTCGCTCCTCTGTTTTCATTTAAACAGCTCCTTCTATCCATTAGCGCAGCTAGCTAGCACCAGATGCTAACAACAACAATGCACGTAAGGTCTCTCTCTCGCTCGCTCGTGCCACACACACACCCTCCCGGTCCTCCCAATAGCCAGTCGGTGCCTGCCGGTGAGCGTGGAAGTGTGGTCTGCCACAAGCGGGTGGCAGGAGCGGGGCTGTCAGCATCAGCTTGTAGATGGTATTTTAAACTCGATGCGCTCTGAAACTACGGGGCGGCCGAGGAAAAAAAATACACATGCGTTAATCGCGTTAAAATAATTAGTTGCGTTATTAACGCGTTAACTTGACAGCCCTACTTTTAATATATTTTAATATTTCGTAAACAATTTCAATTTGCACTTAATGCCCTGTTCCTAAAAAATTTCATGAAGAATTTACATAATGATTTAATTAATTACGATACAAATGTAACCCTTTAGATACCAGTTTTGATCGTATACCAGTAACTGCTTTTTTGAAAAAATACACTATAATTCAATATTCTAAAAACTATTTTGACTTTATTATTAGTATAATCAGTTGATCCATCTGAATAATAAACGAGGGACTGTTAACCTACAAGATTTGTACCATATACTTCATTATAACCACATTTTTGTATTCCCTCCCCCCCTTTAAATTAAAGTGAAAAAATATTTTTGCCCTAATTGTCCTCTGCATTTGACCCTAAATGTTATTCTACTCTAATTCTGAGGTGACTTGGTCAAGAGCAATGACAGGAGTATCTGAACATCCATAACATGCATGTTGTTTTAGGAGTATAATAATGATCTTTATGCTGGTAGGTCTCCCACCCTCAGCGGGTTATCAGCACAAATGATGTCCCCATATGATAAAATCCACCATCCCCCCTGATTTTTTTTTACAACTTGAGTACTGGTTCTTGCACATGAGAGCTTAAAGCCCGTAAAAATGCTCAGACATTTAAACACGAAGCACCCCTCTCTTGCTACTAAACCAGCAGATTGTTTCCGCCGAAAGCAGAGAGAATTGCAAGGCCAAAAGAAAGTTATAACTAACCAAGCAACAATCCCTACCAAGGCTCAAAAGGCATCATATGAGGTGGCATATTTAATTGCACAGGCAAAAAAGCCACACACAATCGGGGAAACCCTAATTAAACCTGCTGCTATCGCTATGAGTAGGGCAATGCATGGGGATAAACAGGCACGGGAGCTGGAAGCAGTGCTGCTGTCTGACGGGACCACGCATCACGGACATGGCCCAGGATATCAAGTGTCAGCTGATTGACAGAGTGAAGAAAGGGAAATATGCTTTGCAGTTAGACGAATCCACAGATATGTCAAACTCTGCCCAACTGCTTGTTTTCGCCAGTTACAGTTTTGATGGAAAACTTGATGAGGACATGCTGTTGTGCACCCCCGCTGAAGCTAAAGTGCAGAAGTCAGGTGGCTTTCAAGGGGAAATGTTCTCAGCCGCCTGTATGAACTGCGGGACGAGGTGCGCTTATTTCTCACGGAGCATGGGTCCCAGCTCGCTGACCACCTGACAGACCCTGACTGGTTAACAAGGCTGGCATATTTGTCTTGCATATTTCACAGACTGAACGGACTTAACCTGTCATTGCAAGGTGAAAACACAAGCATCATGTCCTTGAATTATAAAATCTGCGCATTCAAGAGGAAAGTGGATCGCTGGACTGCGCGCGGATTGATATGTTTCCTGAGCTGGAGGAATTCATAGAGGAAAATGATCTTAGTGTTAACTCTGTGAAGAAGTCTATCACCACCCACCTGCAAGCCCTCCTGGAACACTTTAACAAGTATTTCCCAGAGGAAGCAGCTCCGGAAAAATATGACTGGATAAGATCACCATTTACCGTAACGACTGCAAGTCATCTGTCATTCGACATGGAGGACGCACTGACTGAACTGTCAAGTGACCGCACATTAAAGACAGCTTTTAATGCGAAGACGCTTGCTGAGTTCTGGATTTCAGTTGAGAGGGAATACCCACATCTTTCCAAGGCCGCGATGGACGTTCTGACGCCGTTTGGCTCCACATACCTGTGCGAAAAGACTTTCTCGGCACTGAGTCACTGACATACATAAAAAACAAATACAGATCTCGTCTAAACGTGGAGGATGATCTCCGAGTGGCCGTCTCCAAAATTAAGCCCAGGATGGATTTGCTGTGCTCCATGCATATTGCCCACCCGTCTCATTAGATGAGATTAACGCTGAATTCAATTCAATTCAATTCAAAACCTTTATTTATACAGATAAAACCCATTGAGATCATAGACCTCTTTTACAATGGTGACCTGCTTCAATTAGTTCCAAACATTAATACAAACATGACAGAAAACAAAGGACATTATATGATACTACAGTTTGTATACTAGTAGCATTTACAGACACCAAATGAAACATAGCGTATTCCCCAAATGTAAATATGCACCGCAACAATGTTCATATGTTTACTACAGTTTATGTCTTTAAAGTTTACACAGCAACAATGTTCATATGTTTATTACCTTTATGTATTTTTACAGTTTGCACCGCAACAATGTTCATATGTTTACTACAGTTTATGTCTTTTAAAGTTTGCACCGCAACAATGTTCTCCTAATTCACATGGAGATTACTTTGACTCACGAGTTCTGCTGTTATCCGTGTTTGGATACGCCTATTAGTGCGTGCGTCCTGTGCACACGTTTTTCTTTTTCTTCCAGTCACCACGTGATAGTGGGGGGTCGCCAGTCTCTGGCATTGTTATTTTGGGGGTCGCGGGCTGAAAAGTTTGGGAACCCTTGGTCTAATGGATAGTGAGGTGGGCTGATGATTGGAAGGTTGTGAGTTCAAATCCTGCCTGGAACACCACTTGCCCTTGAGTAAGGCACTTAGCCCTCGGTTACTCCAGGGAGAATGTCCCTGTAATTGGTCATTGTAAGTCGCTTTGGAATAAGGCGTCTGCTAAATGCCTAAATTGTAAATTATATTTTTGAGAGAACAAACCCCACAGATCCTCAACTCCGGTGTGTCTCACTCATTAACAACGCAACACAGAGCAACAAGAACGTTGTCTACAGTAGCCATGAACTAGCATGTATTATCTTATTTGAGGGGGGGTGGATGCGTGGACCACCCGAATAGGTTAAGGGGCCTTTGGCTTTTCTTTTTTTGTGCGGTCCACAAATAGAATCAAATTCTGTGGGAAACACTGGATGTCTTTGTCTGCATCTACCTGCAATCTTGTTTTTCTCCTTCTGCAAAGGAAGATCAATGTGTTTGAGTTAAAACTGGGGGATAGTGCTAAACGGAGGACACCAGGCATTGATGTTCTGCAGGCTCGTCACTCAGTCACAGTCGGGCCTGTCCGGGGAGATAAGACCCATGGCCTGCTTAGGCTGATCAATGGCAGGATCCATAAAGACGCTCTCCCTCACGATTCGCCCTCGTTGTCCTTTTTGTCAACTTGTTTTCTTCTGCTGTCAGTAGCTTTGAGCGTAGGATCATACTCTGCAATTGTCATACTTAAGAGAACGGGAACATAATAATTAACGAACAAAAAAAAAGAGCAATAAATTAGTCTCTACAACGAAACAGCTGTTTGTCTGTTGAACCTTGTACAATTGTTAATTGTTGGATGGTTTGCTGTCTTAATTTTAGAACATGCAATTGGGCGTGCTATTATCATATAAAAAACAGAAAGCTTAGCTGTCCTTATAAGTATGTTCCTCCCTTTCTCTGAGCACCAGGGCCTAGGTTAATGCTGTCATAAAACACAGTAGAGTAGTGCATTAAGAATTGCTGCATCATTATCACATATAATAATCCGTTGTTTTTCATTCCACCCCCTCCCACAACCCTCCCTCTCTCCTTAGCTAAGGTCAAGTCAAAGTGCGCCCCAACATTCTTCGCCTGCGCTAACGGTGTCCACTGCATCATCGGGCGCTTCCGATGCAATGGCTTCAGTGACTGTCCTGACGGGAGTGACGAGGAGAACTGCAGTAAGTCTCACACAACAACTTATTCAAATAAATGTAATCTGTCTCATGCCAATGCTACCAGAATCTGCTCCATGATGAACTTCCCCCCACTCATAATATGCATCTGTAGTTATACGGCTATTGCTGGCTTGAGTACTACAGTACTAATACAAACTTTACATAAGTGCAGTTATTTCTTTAAAATCTGAGAAAAGCAATTTATGCACCACGTATTATAACTACCATAATAATGTTTTAGTCTTTTCTCTGGCTCTGATGGAGCTTTTTCAACTCTAAAGAAAAAGAAAATCGGATTATTATAGTGTTATAATAAGGGTATTCACAATTTGGGTTTGGAGATTATACTAGTATAACAGAAATGCTGTATTATGAACAGGGGTGGGGTGTTTGAAAGATGTGTTAACCAGGCAGCAGTGATATGTCTAAAAAGGATGCGACCGGATTCATTATTTGAGATTAAGTACCAACTGTTTTTGGAATTTGACCGACATTAAGTACCATAACAATATGGAAGAGCAATTAAACAGTTGAAGTACCCCTTTTAATATGCTTTATCAATGAATTATGAGTAAACAACTGGCTTAAACAAATATATGTTGTAAACGGCAAAGAGAGTCAACAAACGATGCAAATGAAGATTAAGATCTCTGTTCATCTTTCACATTTTCTTTTCCTCTCTTCTTCCCCTTAGTTTAGAGAAACTAAACTGACACCCCAGTCTCAGTCTTTGAAAGTCTAACTATATTATAACTTTGTTTCCCAAGAGACACAACACAAACACAATCATGTACCTGTTGCGTTTTATATATTTGGTTATGGGGCAGGTGTGATCAGAGATTGTCACTACCATGTCACTTTTGCCTTACATTCATTTTCGTAATGCCAGATCAGTATTACAGCATTGCTTTCAAAAACTTGAAGCAGTTTTCTTTATGTCCCTCCATACAGTGGAGAATCGAGGATGTCGTTCTATTAAGAAAGCAATTTCTGTACTATTGCTGTACCCCCAAGTCACTATCAAATTCTGCATTTTGAGCAGATGATAATAGTAGTGACATGAATAAATGCCGGATATAGCAAATTCAATTACCTTTTAAAAAATAGTTTCAGTCGTCTTTATTTGTTGCCAGTGCTTGTAACTCCTGACTCATCTGTAGCTTTGCCTTTAGTTGAAATAAAGATCAGGTGAACAAAAGAAGATCCAGGTGTAGTCTGTATTATCCAGCATGCAGTTTGTCCCTACATGACCCAATCTCTGCTTTCCCAGTGGGGAACGTGCATCAAGCCGATCACTCACCATTGTCAGAGGCAGTGTTCCTCGCCTGCAGGGCACCACACTCACAAATGTAATCTAAGCATTTCAATGGAGGTTTGCTCCACGCTCTCAGCACATACTGCGTCACTACTGTGTACTTTTCTGGATCTTCACACAAGATAATTCTACCTCATTTTGCTGAAGCTAAACTCAAAACCAGAACATGTACAAAAAAGAAGTAATAGTGCTGGCAGAGATATTTTAATATTTCTTGTTTTCAGTTTGAATTTTATACCCAGATCAAATGCTTTACTGCTTTCCCTCTAAACATGTTTTATGATGAATTGCTTCGCTTAACCCTCCGGTATCATTCGATTGGACTACGCAAATTAGTCATTCGAGACAAAAATGTCCACTGCAAAAGACTTTGATAAAAACATTATATTAAAAGGTTTTTTTCACAACTTTTTTGGGTTCAATCTTTAAAGCAACTTCCGCCCTAATAGAAAATACCAAAAATGTAATCATTCTCAGGATTTTAACCCTTTAAATGCCATTTTGAAAACATGAAACTGCTGGTTTTTTTCATGATGAAAACAGAGAAAATGAGTTATTTTCCCAAAAATACATATCTGGGGACTGGCTCTTTTTTTTTTTATAACAGTCTTGGATGTGTCAAAGATTAGCAACAAAATGGATTTTTTTGCATTATTAGTTTTTGCACAAAATGACAACAGATTAATATTTTAAAAAACTTTTTGGGGTTAAATCTTTCAATAAACTTCAGTCCTGATCAAAAATACCAAATGTTAAATTATGTTCAGGATTTTAACCCTTGAACTGTCAGTTTGAAAACATGAATTTGCGTTTTCTATGAAAAACATGCACAAAAAGGCAGTTATTTTCCATATAATAAATGTTGGAGGGGTCGGCTTTTTTTTTTTTTATCACAGTCTTGGGTATGTCAAAGATTAGCAACAACATTTATTTTTTTGCATTATTAGTTTTTGCACAAAATCAGATTGAACAAAAAAGTTACATATTAGTCATTCGGGACAAAAATGTCCACTTCCAAAAACTGTTCTAAAATGACAACAGATTAATATTTTTTAAAACGTTTTAGGGTTAAATCTTTCAATCAACTTCAGTCCTGATCAAAAATACCAAATGTTAAATTATGTTCAGGATTTTAACCCTTGAACTGCCAGTTTGAAAACATGAATTTGCATTTTCTATGAAAAACATGCACAAAAAGGCAGTTATTTTCCATATAATAAATGTTGGGGGGGTCGGCTTTTTTTTTTTTTATCACAGTCTTGGATATGTCAAAGATTAACAACAACATTTATTTTTTTGCATTATTAGTTTTTGCACAAAATCAGATTAAACAAAATACTCACACATTAGCCACTCACGTCCCATCCACTCCCATTATAACCACATATTTTGATCTCTCCGCCATACCGGTATAAAATCATGCATTTTATAATGTCAGGGTTTTATATTGGAGGAAAATAGTTAAATGTGTCCCTTTTTACTGTATATCACCAGATGTGACATTTTACCATTGAATTATATGACCTATAAAAACACTGAAGTAATACTATTTTCAACTTTCTCTGAAATCATTTTTAAATCAGCATCAGATGTATCAATGTCAACATTTATTTTCCAAACAGCAAACTGCAATCAACATTCATGAACAAATCATACTATGGTAACAGCAGCCGGTGTACGAGGTGGATGCTTTCTCCGCATGATTTTTGCAGACACCAGAGATCTCCCCAACTCCTCCAAGAAAAGCCTCCTCCTGAAGGACTTGGCTTGCTTCCAGGAGGGATCCACAGCAGTAAAAAGCACAAATGCATGAAGGCAGAGACATCTATCATGTTGTGGAAGAGGACCTGTGGCCACCGATGGGTCATCCTCCTGCAGCTGCCCACAACCTACAAAAGACCAATACAAAATTAATACAAATATTCTTTTAAATGATTAACAACTGTATCATGTATTATTTATATACTGGTAATGCCTCCATACCTTGTCTAGGTTGTCGACAGCTCCCTTGCAGTGGTTGTAGTCTGCAATGATCACAGGTTTCCTTTTCTCCTCCTCTGTCACAGCTGGGTCCCTGTGTTTGCTGCTGAGGAGGAGCACGTTTCTCCCCCGTTTGGGAATGTAGCTCACCGCTGTGGTGTTCTTGGTAAAACCAAAAAGAGAGGAGAGGGCAGCTCTCTGCCTCACCTGCAGGAGTTTGGATGGAAGCTCAGGCTTATTTCTTCGGATGGTTCCGACAAGGGCCACTCTCCTCTTTAGTAGCTCCTGCACAAGTGCATATGACGTGAAAAAATGGTCACAAGTCACAGTGATCCCTTGGAGCCCCTCTGTCATTTCCAGGACGACACGCTTTCCCTGGCCCACCTCGGCAGCACTGCCAGCAGCTTTACCGGTGTAAATCTGGCACTTCCAGGCATAGGAGGTTTCAACGTCAGCGGTGACCCAGATTTTTAGCCCATACTTTGCTGGCTTGCTTGGTATGTATTGCCGGAATTTGCAGCGGCCTCTGAAGGGGACAAGCTGCTCATCCACACACACATCTTCACCAGGGTTGCAAAGCATCGGAAGGCGATGTGTCCACTTCTCCCAGAGAGAGCGGATGGGGGCAAGCTTGTCCTCTCTGTGACGGGAAGGTCTCATCAGCTTGTCGTCAAACCGGAGGGTGGTATTCATCAACCGGAATTTGGTGTTGGTCATTGTGGCACGGAAGATGGCACGTCCACTGTGGTCAACCCAGAGGCTGCGGGTGGATTCGCCCTTCGATTTGTAAACTCCAGCCAATATCAGGAGACCGATATATGCACGAATATCTGTGGCATCCACATCACTCCAGTTTGCCACCGAACGTCCCCCCCTGCAAGTTTGTCATGTCGACAATACTACTGATGATCTCAGCAGTGAAAAATAAATTGAAGGAGGATTCCACGTCATCAATTATTGTAATGGCATAACGCGTGGGCCCTGGAACCAAACCTCTGGCAGCGGGAATGTAGCGCAGCGTGTCGTTGTTAGAGGGAGACCAGATTTCACCATTTTTTGATGTCCACCAACTGCCAGAATCTTCTGTTTCCTCTGCAGTTTCAGCGGAAGGGTCAGAAGAAGAAGAAGGATCAGACTCCACTACAAACTCCACATCACATTCTTCTTCTGAGGTTGTTTCTGATTCAGAAGAAGAGTCAAGCAACTCGCTGGAGGTTGCCGGCTGCATCACCATATCCCTAGCTTCTTCCACAGAGAAGCGCCTCTTCATCTTACTCGCTTGTTGCGTATCACAGGAATGAAACGACCAGCCAGCCAAACTACACATATTTATGGATCTGGCTTTGCAGCCAGGTGTTCGCTTATTGACTTAGTGCATGTATGGCTGTGTATGTTTGTATGCTAAAGAGACATTATCAAAGCCTTTGAAGTTCCAAACAATTCAAAACAACAAGGTTAAGCTGGGTCAAGATCATACCTCTGTTTACCTCTAAGAGACATGAAACAGCACAAATGAAAACAAAATGCCACGAGAGAACACTTACTCCTACATTCTCACACACATCAAAGGTAAAGAGATGACGGGAAAATTGCGAATGCTGTAAACTGTAAATCAAGACATGACAAGCATGTAATTCAATGGTAAAATGTCACATCTGGTGATATACAGTAAAAAGGACAAATTTAACTATTTTCCTCCAATATAAAACCCTGACATTACAAAATGCATGATTTTATACCGGTATGGCGGAGAGATCAAAAGATGTGGTTATAATGGGAGTGGATGGGACATTTTTGTCTAATCTGATTCTGTGCAAAAACTAATAATCCACCAAAATAAATGTTGTTGCTAATCTTTGACATATCCAAGACTGTGATAAAAAAAAAAAAGCCGAACGTCCCAACATTTATTATATGGAAAATAACTGCCTTTTTGTGCATGTTTTTCATAGAAAACGCAAATTCATGTTTTAAAACTGGCAGTTAAAGGGTTAAAATCCTGAACATAATTTAACATTTGGTTTTTTTGATCAGGACTGAAGTTGATTGAAAGATTTAACCCCAAAAAGTTTTTAAAATATTAATCTGTTGTCATTTTAGAGCAGTTTTTGGAAGTGGACATTTTTGTCCCAAATGACTAATATGTAACTTTTTTTGTTCAATCTGATTTTGTGCAAAAACTAATAATGCAAAAAAAAAAATGTTGTTGCTAATCTTTGACATACCCAAGACTGTGATAAAAAAAAAAAAAGCCGACCCCCCCCAACATTTATTATATGGAAAATAACTGCCTTTTTGTGCATGTTTTTCATAGAAAACGCAAATTCATGTTTTAAAACTGGCAGTTAAAGGGTTAAAATCCTGAACATAATTTAACATTTGGTATTTTTGATCAGGACTGAAGTTGATTGAAAGATTTAACCCCAAAAAGTAAAAAAAAATATTAATCTGTTATCATTTTAGAGCAGTTTTTAGAAGTGGACATTTTTGTCCCGAATGACTAATTTGTAACTTTTTTGTTCAATCTGATTTTGTGCAAAAACTAATAATGCAAAAAAATCCATTTTGTTGCTAATCTTTGACATATCCAAGACTGTTATTAAAAAAAAAAGAGCCAGTCCCCAGATATGTAGTTTTGGGAAAATAACTAATTTTCTCTGTTTTCATCATGAAAAAAAACAGCGGTTTCATGTTTTCAAAATGAAATTTAAAGGGTTAAAATCCTGAGAATGATTATATTGTTGGTATTTTCTATTAGGGCGGAAGTTGCTTTAAAGATTGAACCCAAAAAAGTTGTGAAAAAAACCTTTTAATATAATGTTTTTATCAAAGTATTTTGCAGTGGACATTTTTGTCTCGAATGACTAATTTGCGTAGTCGATTTGTTACACAGTGAATTAAAGACCGATTTGAAAAATTGAAATTGGAATTCTAAAATAGATCGAGAAAATAGCCTTGTTACAAAAATTCAGGCCGTTTGCACCAACACAACCAAAGTTATTGCAAAATGACAAGTGAAAAATGACCCATATGGACAAAAACGTCCACAGTGATACCGGAGGGTTAAGATCCTGATTGAAATGAAATGCCCAATATTTTATCTTCAATTTAATTAAATGAAAGTGTTGAAAATGGTAAACAAAACAAGATCTAAAAACTGCACCACTACAGACGTCACACAGTGGCTTGTGTTTCACAGGCAACTTGAAACCTCTCACTGTAACCCTGTCTGAACTAACACTTGACCCTGACCTCTGCCCTGCCTCCACCACAGCGGGCTCTGAGTGCTCGGGGACTCGCTTCAAGTGTCGGAATGGCCACTGTGTGGACCGCAGCTTCTTGTGTACGGCCAGGACAACTGTCAGGGACAACAGCGATGAGGAGCTCTGCCTAACTACAGCGGGTGAGTCATCAGTCAAATGTATTAGATGAAAAGAACAAGGAAATAAAACATCTATTCTGGCTGTGGGAATCTGACACAGGGGCAGGGAGACGTTGAGGATGTTTAGCATGTTTGTCCCCATGTTTAGGAGCAGAGACTTGCCCCCCTCATAAGCCTTTAACTCACATATGTTAAACTGTTTACTGAGGGTTTGTTTGGATAACTGACACCCTTCACCAACAGTGTAATACGCAGAAAAAAAAGGAACAGGTGATAGAAGAAACCAAGAAACTAAATGATTAACTTATACAGTTAAAAGAGAAAGTATTATACAATTCATCTCTATATTCACTCATTTTCTTTTCTTCCTTCAATCCCTTAACAAAAACACAATCAAGAACAATTTAGAGATGAGGCTGGTTGTTAACCACTTTTACGTTCATCAATCTGGAATTTGTTTATTTCAATTAGGCCATAATTGTTGGAAATATTGGCAGGGAACTTGGCAGCATATTTCAGAACAGGTGCAAGCTTGTACTGTAGATACAGTAAGTGAATAGTGTAGAGGAAACTTCTGTGTAGCTATGCAGTGGGAGTCACCGACTCAGGAAGGAGACACGGGAAGAGCAGTAGCTTTGATGTCAAACACATGATGGTTTATTTGGAGTTAACAGCCGGAGGATTCACATCACAAGTCCAAGAGTCAGAGGTTCTGACTTCACGGTAGAGTTGCCACGTCAATTCTGGAGAGCCTCTCTCTTGCCAGCCCATCTAACTGGTTTCGCAGAGAGTAAACAACATATTTGAGGAGATAGCCTAAACAGTGTGGGAACACAGAGCTACTTGCCTCGGACACTTATGACCTCGAAGATTTTACCTTGGAGTCCACAAATACAGAGAAGGAAGTGTCCCAGTGTACCCACAACACAGACCATCTGTATCCCAGTATTGACCGGTCACAGAATGGGAACAATAACATTATTGGCTAAGCCGCCTGTGTCCTTAAAGAAGGTAAACAGACATCGAGGTTTGTCCTGTATGTTACTAATTGGCGTCTTATGATAATTATTTCCACAACAAATAGTATACATGATGATAGATGATTTTGAAGATTGTGTCACTCAATTTTGTCACATCATCTGATATTTCTCAGAACATCACTTACGAGAGGTTTTATGCAGCTGATTCATAAAGCCACTGACATATTCAACTTTATGCCAAAGAAGACATGCACTGCTGTGTAAATGTCCTACGTTCTTAACAAACAAAAATAAGCAAAAGCACTTGTTGTAATACCTAATGATATTGTTGACATTGTAGTCACATCCCTGACATTGAGTATTATGATTTCTGGTTTAGAGTGTCTTATTCGCTGGCAGGTACCACTTTCATCTGGCATGCCATTCTTATTCCACTGGCAGCTCTGCTCCTCACAGACAGCTGCTGCCACGATGGCACAGCAGTCGACTTCTGTCAACACTTCAGCTGAGCTTCCAGTGGCAATCCAACATGGATTCTGCCAGCAGTCCAACGCTGATGTTAAAATAATTTCTGTGTATCCCCATCCTATGTCTAGGTGATGCTGTCATATTGATTTACTCAGTCAGAATAAAACAAAAAGTCCTTCAGTATCAGTGGCCCAAAAGACAGTTTTGTTATTACCAGACCTTATTTCCCTGAAAGAATAAAAAAGCATTTTTTTCTGATAAAGAGGGAAGGAGCTATGCAGCAGTTTATTTATATAGCACTTTTCGACACAAGGCAATTCAAAGTGGTTTAAAAAAAATGAAAGACATTAAGAAAATGGCATTTAAAATCAGTCATTAAAAAGAAAAGCTAATAAAATAAACATTAAAAGAAAAAATATATGGATAAAAGTTACAGTGCAGTCTAAGATATGAATTGTTCAACTAAACATTCAAAGAAAAAATACATGGATAAAAGTTACAGTGCAGTCTAAGATATGAATAGTTCAATTAAAAGCAGCAGCAAAAAGAAAAGTCTTCAGCCTGGATTTCAAAGTAGTCAGAGTTGTAGCGGACCTGCAGGTTTCTGGGAGTTTGTTCCAGATATTTGGAGCATAATAACTGAACGCTGCTTTACCATGTTTAGTTCTGACTCTGGGGACAGAAAGCTGACCAGTCCCTGAAGACCTGAGAGATCTGGATGGTTCATAATTTAGCAGGAGGTCAGAAATGTATTTTGGGCCTAAACCATTCAGTGCTTTATAAACCAGCAGCAGTATTTTGAAATCTATTCTTTGACACACAGGAAGCCAGTGTAAAGACTTCAGAACAGGAGTGATGTGATCCACTTTCTTAGTGTTAGTGAGGACTCGAGCAGCGGCGTTCTGAATCAGCTGCAGCTTCCTAATAGATTTTTTAGTGAGACCTGTGAAGACACCATTGCAGTAGTCGAGTCTACTGAAGATAAAAGCAAGGACAAGTTTTTCCAAATCCTGCTGTGACATTAGTCTTTTAATCCTAGATATATTCTTTAGGTGATAGTAGGCTGATTTAGTAACTGTTTTAATGTGACTGTTGAAACTCAGGTCAGAGTCCATGACTACACCTAGATTTCTGGCTTTATCTGTTGTTTTGAACATTGCACACTGAAGCTCAACGCTAACTTTTATACGTTCTGACTTGGCTCCAAAAACCATTACCTCAGTTTTATCTTTGTTTAATTGGAGAAAGTTCTGACACATCCAGTCATTGATTTGTTCATTGCACTTACTCAGTGTTTGAATTGGAGCATAGTCTCCTGGTGAAATTGTTACGTACATTTGTGTGTCATCTGCATAGATATGGTAACTTATTTTGTTGTTTTTCATTATCTGAGCCAGTGGTAGCATGTAGATGTTAAAGAGAAGAGGCCCCAAGATGGAGCCTTGAGGTAGCCTTGGTCATATTTGTCAACTCAGATGTGTATTTACCTATAGAAACAAAGTTGTTTCTGTCCTTTAAGTAGGATTCAAACCAATTTAGAACTGTTTCCGAAAGTCCCACCCAGTTTTCCAGTCGGTCTAGTAATATGTTGTGGTCAACAGTGTCAAACGCAGCACTGAGATCTAATAATACTGACACTGAAGTTCTGCCACTGTCTGTGTTTAAGTGGATGTCATTAAAGACCTTTACAAGAGCAGTCTCAGTGCTGTGGTTTGGACGAAAGCCTGACTGGAACACATCGAAACAGTTATTTAAATGCAAGAAATTACTCAACTGTTGAAAAACAACTTTTTCAATGATTTTACCTAGAAATGGGAGGTTTGATATGGGCCTGTAATTGTTCATTACTGAAGCATCTAGTAAGACATTACACTTGAGAATATGAACACTGTAAATCATGTTGACCATTTTAAACACCATTCATTCTCTAAAATGCAAGAGATCATTTTCTTGCTGGTTGTAATTTAGCAACCTGATGTATTACCTCACAGTTGATTAACTCATTTTTATCAATCTATTTTGTTTTAAACTCCCTAATTAGTGAAGCTGATTAAGCATTTATTTACTTATTTGCACTTGTATGTGACAGAGAGTCCTATCATCATCCACAAGCCTGTCGTTTCTCAAACTCCTGACTCATTGCAGAGCAACAGAACGCTGAAAAGACCTGAAGAGTGATGCAGAAATATTGATCTGTGTTCACTGCACTCCATGTTATTGTTAAAAAGTGAACAACTCTGGTGCACTCTTCACAACAAATACTGTTCGAACTGTTCACTGCAAAAAACCTAGAATGAACAAATCATGTTTGCCCGGATTAAACAATTAGGAATCAAGGTTAGACATAACATTCAGTAATATAATTACTCAGAAGATACTAGGGATGTAATGATACCAAAAACTCACGGTACGATAATATCGCGATAACAAGTCCACGGTACGGTATTTATCGCGATATTGAATAATAAAGGGGGAAAAAAACAAAACAAATTTCAATACAAATTTTTTTACTCGAAAAATGTTTCTTTATTAAATAATACATCTGATTTGTACAGCATTTTAGTAGGATGGCAGTATTTTAAAGTGTCAAAAACAAAGTGACAGTAACAGACTGGAAACAAGAAAAACCAGTGTTTTTGTACCTGCTAGTACTACCAAACAAAGTAGGCATTTTCTTTGTGCCACTGCATCTCACAAATAAACAAGGACATTTAATAATCAGACCCTGCAATACAATAAATCAAGTGTCACTTTAGTTTTCAAGTAACTCAACTCAAACTCACTAGTCACTCACTCAGACAGGTTTTTAGGAATATGAGAATGTCCACATTTCCAGGTATTTATAAGCTGGGATGTTTGAGCATTTACAATATCCCCTGCTCTGGAAAAAACTCTCTCGCTTGGTACTGATGTTGCTGGGACAGCAGTGGTCGCTTTAACACCGAATATTTTATTTAACAATGACGGAAAAAACTGAAAGCAGTCTGTCATTTTGACAGATCAGAACAAACTCGGAACAGCGCCAACGTTTCCCCGCAGCGAGGCTCTGGTGTTATGCCGTGTTATGCATGCCCTCCAAAAGGAAATGATATAGTTTCCAAAGCGTACTTTGCCATACAGATCAATACATGTCTGGGAGGTTTTGCTTTACGCTGTGCGCGCTCCCGCGAGGTGCATGCACACACGGCATAACACCGCCCCCCCCCGTTGACAGTTCACGAGCGTGCTCTCTCGTGAACTGTTCAGACCCGACGGGTAATAAGGGATTATGACGGACATTTTACGATCCTGTCTGTCAAAATGACGGACAGCGAAAAAGTCTAACGCCACCTCAGTGGGACGGAGAGATATGCTTTGGCCATGGGTGACAGCAGTGGGTCAAACTGTGCATTGTCTCTCCACCACTTCAAAAACAATACAGTTTTCGCCAAGAAGGTGAGGCTTATTGACAGGGCGAGATACACATATACTGTTGGTACTTGTCAATGTCTCTAGGTGTGTAAATGTAGCCCTGTAAATACGATGTCCTTTTGTGTTCTGTTGTTTTATGTTCATGTTGTAACCTACTTGCTG